TGTGCCCATTATCTGCTATAATAGCTATATTTTTTCAGAACTGAGTCAGACCGGTGTCATATATGTAAGAGTACCTAGACCAAGCTTCTGTACGACTACTTTGGCTTTTATTTATAAGTAAATACTGTATCTCACAAAAAATGCCAAAGTAGTAACTTTAGAGGCAACAGATCCTAACCACAGGAGGACAGCATGTGCAGCAGATTGCAAAATTCTTTTGGGTGAATATACTAAACCTAGTGGTTTAGACTGAAATATAATCCATCTATTATATCAACAATTGGTAGATTTATAACAAAAATGTAAATTTGAAATTAGAACATAGCAGGTTTTTAGATTCTGTATAGAAATACAGGAATTGTGTGAATATGCCAAAAAGAGTATTTTATGTTTCCCATGAAGATACTGCAAAGGTACCTCACTTTAAACAGAAGACCTGATGATAATGTATACAGTTGGTGTACTGCAAATGGGTATTTTACAGCATATTGAAAGTGCTAGTCTCTTTTATGTTAAGGAATCAGAGATTATACTAATAGAGCTAATTTCTAGTGAATATGGGCCAAGGATTTCTGATTCCAACTAGAAAAAAAATCAGCAACCTTGCAGGACTACTCCATTACTCCAGAAAGGCTTGTTGTAAGATGCTTTAACTGTTGAGAGCCAGGTCTAAAGACCACCAAAGCTGTGGAAGGACCTTCATAAGCTTTAGTGTTCTTTCTTTAAAGCAGACCAACAGTTATTTGACTACAAAGAAGTATCAGCTAACTTGATTTTTCATTAAGAAATCTACAAAAGTATATATCTGTCAATAATTTGTACACTCTTCAGAAAGAGATAAGGGGATGAGTGTATAAAGTCTTCATATCAATTTGAAAAATGATTTCTCTTAAAACCATGCAAAAGTTCCTGTCCGATATGGTGGTTAAATGTGGTTGTTGCTTTGTCATGATCATCATCTACAGGCTCTGTGGTGGTCTCAGGAAGCAGGATTAAATTGCCTTGAAATGCAGTTTCAAATATGAGAGAACTGGAGGTGGTTGGTCATCTCCCTTGGGCTACTGAGGGAATTTCAACCATTTCCTGAATGTCAATCATATCAATAGATGTTAAAAACAGAGACATCCGCATGTACAGGAAATCTAGCAGGTTTTCCTTACATCTTTTGTCAAAATGCTCTTTGTCTACATCATGTTAGAGGCTGAATGTTAGTTCTGTGTCAGGTGAAGAGATGTACAAAACCAAAGACTGATGTGCGTTCAAAATGTGGCTTGGCTGCTGGCTTAGTGCAGTCACAAGCAGTATTGTGTTTTCATGTAAATGCAAAGGAATTCTATATATTGCCACTGTGTGATGGACAGAAGCATATAGTCTTCTCAGAAGGTCTGTATTAAGCTGTTTACCAGATTGCCTCTAAGTTTTATTCATCTCTCCACCTGAAAGTTACTATAAAATTTTCACATGCCTCTTTCCTACCTGTCATTGTTTCAAAATGACAAAAATGTTATCCTGCCTTCTGATTTTGCCATGTGAATCAGTTGGTTTGGTAGAGTGAAGTTTAGGGGCTTGCTTCTTTGCTGTTATTTTACACATGAGTAGTTCCAATATGGCTATTTCCTGCTTTATATCACTGTCAGGTGAAAGGAATACCAGACTGGGCCTATGAATGTTATGTATCAAACAACAGTAGGTGCATTCTGCCAGTTAAAGGTGGTCAGGAATTTTTTGATAATGCTTTTTTTTTTTTTTTTTTCCTTTAAGAAATGTTAGTTTGTCAAAGGTTTTCTGTTTTGACATACTCCAGTTTAATGAAACCTGGTTTCCTGCTAGTCCAGGGGGCAGGTTGTGTATCCAGCGATTGTGGGGGGAGCCTGGGAGACCTTGGAAATAAGGACTCCTTGGCTCCCACTTTTCCTGTTGTAGTCCCAAATATGCAGGAACCAGCATTCAGCTCTGCAGAAGGGGTCCTGGGAACTTAGTTTTATTGGTTTGGCTGAGATCTGCAGACTTCCTTCTGCAGAACTGCATGATGTTGCTTTTGTCATGTGTCCCAAGGCCTTTGTATCTCACCCTCAGATAAGGAGTTGAGAAATGTTCAGAACCCCACAAGGACTGGGATGCTTGAGCTTCTTACAGACATGGTTTTATAGCTGGTAGTCATGACAGAGATCATGAATAATCAGAAGTATAGAAGATGAAGAAGTTAAGCTAAGCCAGAAGGGGCCTCTGAGCTTAGAAGATGGGGCTATTAATTCAATTTATTTAAAAAAATCTTTTAAAAAGTGGGTATTTCAAAGCACTTTTTCCTCTTAGGCAAGGCTTTTCAAATTTGATCTTTTTGACATTTCACAGATATGGCATTTCATGGAACAGAAAATCTTTTTAACAGCTCTGCTGCTAGTGACAGAGGACTGTGTTCATCTTCTCAGTCAATGCCAAACTAGTGCTCTGCCTGAGTTAAGCTGATAGAACCTGAACCTTAATCAAGTGATTTTTCTGCTGTGCTTTGTTATAGTATTTTACTCCCCAGGTGACTCAACTGTGCGTTCATAACTTTCTCCCTAAGGTTCACTCTAGATAGTTCTTGATGTGAACATATCAACAGCCAGCTGTAGTGATGAGTGAGAGAAATTATGGGTTAACACATATTTCAATAGGAAGATACTCCATTACCTGGAGATTTCCTCATTTTTGCAGGTGCTAATTTTGAGTTCAATATTTCAACAGTGAACTCATAACCACTGCACTCCTTTTCAGAGAAAAGCATGTGACTGCTTGATCTTTATGGTAACTATTTTATAAAACACTTCAATAAACCTATTCTCTCCCATAAACAAAGAAGCTGGAAGAACTTGGGTTCATTTTACTTCTTGTTCAGAACATGAATTTTTTTGGCTCATATATCACCTTCTAAAAATCCATTGATGTGTAGGTATGGTTATAGCTCTAAAGAACTGAGCTGGAGGAATTATCCAGGTGTTTTCTCGCCATTTTTCAAGAATGTTGTTGTGTGACCATTGCTAGAGGACCACACCAAGACTTCCATTCAGCCAATGTAGTCAACAGTGGCATGTAAAGTGATATTTGGCCACCAAATCCAGGGAGGCATCTAGTGTGGCTAAGTGATGTAATAACATATGCAGAGTAACAACACCATTCAAGGGAGGCAGAATAATAGTTATAATGCTTTGTCAGTGAAAACCTTCTGCAGACTTACTCCCTCCTCTGGAGCTCTGAGGAAGGTGTCTGCTCGTACTCTACTGTTAGCTTCTGTAATGCCACCAGGGTTTAACATCACCTGTCCCTCATCTCTTAGACTGATTTATTTTCAAAAGTGCGTGGGAATGCATCATTGTGCAAACTGGAAAGAAGTTCAATAGTTTGTTCTGTGAAATCAATTGTATATTTTATTGTAGTATTGCAGCCTCTGGTTGTCTTTCTTACGCAGCTGTTACACTGATGCCAGAGAACTTGCTCATGGATGAGCGGGGAGAAATAAGCCTATTGCACTGGTGAGGGAGACCCATAAATCCCTGTCTGTTTCTAAAACTAGCTCAGCTTCTGGTCGCAGACAGACTGTTGTCCCACACATTAGAGAAAGTACGGTGTCAGATAAATTGTCATTCTACAGAGCACATCCAAAGTCAATAAATGGACTTTAATTTTTAAAGGTAAAAATATAACATTAGTAATGGTTGGCTCCTCAGTTCCTGGAATGTTGTGAAAACCATAAAATCAGTTGAGCCAATGTAATCAATCTGTTCTAACATTGTCTAAGAACTGAATGGGAGTACTTCAAAACTTGTTTCCAAAACTCAGTGGCATTTCATAGCAGGTTCATATTTATGCTTTTAGAGTAAGAAGGTATAACTCTCTACAAAATAACCCCAAAACCAAAAACCAACCATCCCCCCAAACCCCACCCTCAAACCCCCACACATACAGCCAGTTCCTCAGAAGGTATAAATTTACATAGCACTTTTGAGTTCAGTGAAGCTTTGAAAATTTATGGAAGTTCAGAACCTGTTCAATAAATTGCAGTCTCTGGAATGGGCTTATGTGTTTATCAGTATCTGTGTTATTATCCCCATTTTCTTTATTTTCTTGGTAGTTCAGATATATCTTTGTGCATTAATGAAGAAAATTCATTTTATTGTAAGCTTCCTCTTTCAGAAAGATTGTTTTGCATGTAAATAGGGAAAAAAAGGTGTGTAAATATTCTTCTCAATGAACTAGTAGGGTAGACCGTATTGGAGTTCATAACCAACAACAGATTTTAGCATTCCCTTGGTTTGGGGGGATTCATTGGACCTTTAACCTAAAACATGTAAATGCTATTAAATGAGTAATGAGAGGTTTTGAATTGGAAAAAAAGAGCCATATCTAGTTGAACCACAAAATATCTACATTGTTGGAAAGCTGGCATTATCCAAAGAAAAACAGATTTTTTTTAAGTCATTTTAATCACATCAGTCATGTTGCAGCAAGGAATGCAAATATTCATATACTACAGATTGAGACTGCTCTGAAATGTTCTGACAATCTGTTATGTTTTGAGTGATGTTTCAACCCCATCACTTGGGGTTTTTTGTTTTGTTTTTTTATGACTATAAAAAACCACTACTCATCTCTGTCACATGCTGCACAGGATAAAAAGCCTTTCCGTTTTCTTAGCAAGAATCAGACGGCCAGGGTGCTGCTGGAACGCAGAGAATATGCCACTGTCTGTTCAAAGTACAGCTTAATGAGCCAGACTAAACACACTGGACAATAGAGCTGTGGGGGGAAAGGGCTTCTCATGGATCTATGGATCAGCTACAGCTTTAACATCTAACTAGTCTCATTTTTCATCTTTACAAGTTCCATTTCCCTGTTTTGTTGATATAAACTACATTTCAATGAGCGGACTTTCCTGCCTAGGTGACGGTATTGTGTGCTTTGAAAAAGGATATCGTGGATTATGCTAGAAATAATTTCTGTGTTTCTTTTTTCTCTCATAGTCACGACCTATTCCCTCACACCTTACTTCAGCAGTTGCAGAGAGTATCCTGGCTTCCGCCTGTGAGAGTGAAAGCAGAAATGCTGCAAAAAGGATGCGGTTGGATAGACAGCAGGTACTGTGTTGTTTGGGGGTCTACCACATCCATATTTATAAATGCACTGGCCTCATTTACATAGGGTGCCATGCAGAAGGGTGGTGCAATCCTTATACATTTCTTGCTAGCAAGAATAATTAAAATACAAAAGCTGTAGTTCTTTAAATGAATACACAAGCATGTCTTTGTCTATATTTACATAAGCTGTATGAGGGTGCCTAGTATACTGATAATGTCCAGCTGGATAAAGCTATATATTGGCTTTTTAATGGTTGTAGATTTTGAGGGCAGATTGTGTAATCTGCATGCTAGAGTTTAAAGGAACAGAACATACAGTATATGTAATTCACATAAATAACAGAAATGATGCATGTATCCATGAGTCAGTGTGTTTATCTGTGCACATATTCTCTTTCAAAATGTGTGTGCAATTGTAAATGTAAGGTAAAATAGGGTGTTTCTGAAAATACTTATTTGCCTGAAACAGAAAAGTTATTGTGGTATATAGCAAAATGCTATCAATTACCTTATTAGTGAGTTTTTAAAGCTCAGATCAATATTTATTTTATTTTTTCTTATGTGATTATTCACCTATTCTAGTGCGTGTTAGGATTTAATTATTTTTAATTTGCTGAGAATTGCATGGTTTCTTTCAGTTTTTTAAAATCAAACTGGTAGGTTGTTCCAGGCTTTGATTATCAGTTGCTTCATGGATACAGTGAATGTCTAACATTCCTATTGCAAAGATCATTATGCTTTATTTCTCTTCATGATTTTCATAAAGTCAAATATCTCACTTGTTCCAAAATGTGCCTCAGTCATGGTAGTCCACTTTTCTTGTGGAAAAGAACATTTTTTGAAAGAACATTTTTCTTTTGTACATAGTCCATTGAGTTCCTTAAAGTCCTGCCCTAACTGAATAAAGATTCCTACTACTGTCCTTAGAACACTGATAGCTCGGGAGCTGAGAGTGGATATTGCTATTTCTTTTTGCTGTTATATTTCTGATAGTGCTGTCATAATTGCAGTACATTTGCCTTAAGATTTACAAATCACATGGGATGTCAAAGTACTATAATGTTAAGTATGGCTCAGTTTAGAAGTGGTGCTCATACAGATTGTGTAGGTTTTATATTATCTCATTTGTTCTCTGATTTTTCAGTAAGAATTCCAAAACTAAAAAAAATAAAAAAGCTACAAAGTCAATGTGCTTACCCCAAGGAGAACTATAAGAGACTTGTGCAAACATCAGTTGCTTTCCTTGCGCTGGCTGGAGGCTAACCTGTCCTCAGTAATCACAAAAATAGTGTCTCTGTTCCTTGGTCCAGGCACGGAAAGGCAAAGTTTTTAAGTGATTTAGATGAATATCCCATAATGCTCTCTAGGGAGCCAGAGAGCAGTTGAAAGAAAAGCAGTTTCTGTAGACAGAAATAAAAAAGCTTATTAATAGGTTTTTTCTCTTACTTGTAGAGACAGAAGGATTTGGTAGCAGTTATTGTTGAAGGGAGAGGTATGTCTTTACTTTTCCTTAGAGGATTCAAAATCTGTAGGCAGAATGGCTCCAAACTGATCATCTTAATTACAGTTGTGATGTTAAAGTAGCAAAGTTGCCTGTGAAGAACAGGTGTTGGGTTCAGCTTCCTTCAGCTCCCTCCTCTTTTTGGCAGTGAGTTCTGGGAACACAGTGGAGACAGTTGCAAACAGCACCAGCCATTTGATTCAGCAAGCAGTAAATTAGCTGGGTTGATGTGGCTTTGGTGCTTGCAAAACTATTTGTGAATTCAGGATAGTTTTGCTGAATAGTTTTGGCTGGAAAAAAATGTGGGAATGTGTGTTAGATAGCTTCATAAAACTTACAGTGAGAAATTCACCCTGAAGGGCGGGATAGTTAAGTCATTAGAGGAATAGAAAACCTTGGTTGTGGCCTCAGTTCCATTGAAATTTAATTATTTATTCCAAGTATGCGACATTAACAAAGTAGTTTGAGAGCAAAGCATTCCAGAGTATTTCTGAGTGGGGTATTTAACACACACTACTCTGCTCAGTCCTTACACTGAGATGGGAAGTGAACCTCTATCCTCATATCCAGAGAGAGTGCTTTATAGGTAAAAGAGCTTTGTCCTTCTTATCTTCCTATTTTTTTTCCTTTTACTTACTTTTAAATTTCCTTCACTTTTCTTACATATATCCAAAGTGAAATATTTTCATTGGATTTTTTTCTTAAACAGAGAAAGGTTGAAAAAGTTGAGTTCAACATGTTAGTTTTACTGTTCCGTAGCTCTTAAAAAAAAAAAAAGAAGCCTTTTTTTCTTGTTAACATGGCTCTACTTTTCTTTTTTAAACATAAATTTCCAAAATTGGGCATTATACCAATGGCTGGACTCAGGCTTTGAGGACCCTTCAGTGGAAATTTGGGAGGAGGAAAGGGGAAATAAGATTTGGATAATGAAAATTACCACTTCATAAATTATATCAAGAGATCTTCTAATGGAGGACAAGCATTAGACAGTCCTGGAAAGTAGATTGTTAAGAGGATCTGGTGAGAGCACTCATTCAGCACTTCCCCTCAGAGCTGAATGGAAGCGTTGCGTTAAAGCAGCTCTATTCCTGCGCACAGCGCAGTGAAGGTCTGCCTTTTATTGTCCAGAGGGGTGATCTACCTCAAAGTGAGGTGTAATTTGCATCTCCACCACTACCTTTTTCAGAGTATTACCCACAAAGTGTTAATGTATTAAGAACACAGTGAGTGTTATGCCCAGTCCTGAAGCTAAGACTAAACCTCAGCAGCTTCCTGAATTCATTTTCTTGTCTTGTTTATGCTCTTTCCTCCGCTTCTCCGTTTCTTCTCCTCTCCTTAGCAAGGAGTCCCTGAGCAGGAAAAGATATACTGAGTGTATGCGCCTAATGGAAGTCTGTACTTCAGTAAAATAATATGAATTTCAAAACTAAATATTTTTCTTTTGTCTACAGTTTTAATTTTAATAGTGGTTTGATGAAAAACCGTCTCAATTATCACTCAGCAAAAAGAACCAGCTTAAAAGTCGAAACTGTGGAAACTTCTAAGAGCTTGAATTTTCTTTTGAACAGATAAGAGTATTGACCATGCTCATGACTATTAGCTGTTTCTTTTACAAGTATTAAATGTGAAGGGTTGGTTTTATCTGCTTACAGTCCTGTGCACAGATTGGTCATCTCTTCGGAAGAAACCTCTCCAATTGTGTGTGTGTGTCTGTACGCACACAAATACTGCATCTTATGAATGACTTCCTAGAAGTATTTCTTATAGCTGCAGTGCTTCATATAGCCCTGATCTAGTGATATTAAGTCTGATAAAGCTAAGTCTGAAGCAGGAAGAACCTATCCTTCTACCTGTATGCCTTAAATTCCACTCATGTGATCTTTGTATTGCCTAACTCAAGGCTGAAACTTTCTGCCTGCAAAAATCCAATTTTAAAAGTAAGTTAATGAAAACTGGTCTCACTGGCATCAATTGCTTATTTTCAAAATTAGTTTTTTTCATGGCAATAATTTATTTAATAGTGGGAAGCTCAGTGTGATTTTGTCTGTCAGGAAATAGTAAATTCCCATAGTTTTCAAAACTGCAGCACTAAAAGCGTTGTCACTTTCTGAAACTTCTCTGTAAGGAATATAAATGTGTTTACTAGGTCATGGTAGCTTGGACTATAACACTTCAGTTGTCTGGCTGTTAGATGTTACTCAAGTGCTCTCTTTAGCTTCACTGCATTTTCATTATCCTGAGATCAAGCTCAAGCTGGTTGGCCAGTTACGTATTTGGTAGCTATTACCTGACTGAAAAGTTTTGTCGCTTCCACTTTTTTATTCTGCCTGAAATTAGAATTAATTTATTCCTTTGCACAAATTTTATAGATCTGTATATTGAAAATGTATAGATTTACTGATACTACTGCCAAATGGTGAAATGCTCACAACACTGGGCTGGATTTGGTTGATATTTCCAAGGTCCAGCTCAGGCAGTGGATAGAGAGGCAATGCAAAGCTTTTGTGTCTCTGCTGATTCTGGATACTGAAAAAGGGTAACTCCAGTCTTGAGTTTTGAGGAGTTTTTTCATCACAGTTGATAAAAAATGTAGAAAAAATAATTGGATTGAACTTCTATGACTTGCTTCAGTCAGAGATAGAAGAGGCGTTATCTGAACCCTTAAGATTTCCTATGCATCTGAGTGATATCTTGGGATGCTCTTCTGGGATAATTCTTCAAGATCTTTATTACATCTCTAGCAGTATTCAGTGCAAAGCAGTTAGAGTCATAGAATCATAGAATGTTTTGGGTTGGAAGGGACCCCTAGAGGTCATCGAGTCCAACCCCCCTGCAGGAGCAGGGACACCGCTAACTAGATCAGGTTGCTCAGAGCCCCGTCCAACCTGGTCTTGAATGTTTCCAGGGATGGGGCCTCCACCACCTCTCTGGGCAACCCGTTCCAGTGTTTCACCACCCTCATTGTAAAGAATTTCTTCCTTAGATCCAGTCTAAACCTACCCTGATTCAATTTAAAACCATTACCCCTTGTCCTGTCACAGCTGGCCCTACTAAAAAGATCTTCCCCATCTTTCCAATAGGCCCCCTTTAAGTACTGAAAGGCTGCAATCGGGTCTCCCCACAGCCTTCTCTTCTCCAGGCTGAACAAGCCCAGCTCTCTCAGCCTGTCTTCATAGGAGAGGTGCTCCAGCCCTCGGATCATTTTTGTAGCTTATTTTCTTCACCTTGACAATATGGCCAGTGCATTCTTGAGCATTTTTCTTCTCATTGAAGTTTTTGGCAATCAAGACAAAATGTGAGCACCTGGGAGCGAAGAGGGAGGACAAGTATGGGAAAGCAGGAAAAGAACTGAATCATAGAATACTATGTCTATAGAAGTGTATGAACCTTTTTATCGACATGTCATATATAGTTATCGAGATCATTTACAAAATCGATGTCGCTTCATTGGCACCATGTTTTTTTTGTACTAGTTAGGAATCTGGACCTTTGAGAAATC